TCCTTATATACACTTACTTCTATGTATGACATGAATAACCAATCGGAAGCTCGGAATGTTCCCGTAGTGGCTTTCTCAGCCATTTTAACAAACTTGGTGCCATTTCTTTTTTTTGAAGCAATATTTTAGTCTGCTTAATATTTCATATTTTTTTTAGACTAAAATACATCTTAGTTAATAAGCTTGATAAATTATAGTTCAATTCTATGGTATTAATGTAGTAATTTATGATTTTTTTTAGTTATTCAAATGTATATATAAAACCTAAACAAAATATTTTGTTTGATATCCTCCACATGCAATTTTTTTAAAGGCTTGGCAACCTACGTCAAGCAGAAACCTAGTACAAAGGTCGTAACCAGAAGAGATAATTGTTTGCTTTACATCTTTAGTTACTGTTCTATGTTTTATGAAAAAATAAGTTTGAGAAATTATTTCAAAATAGCAATAATCTATATACATATATAATGTATAATAATTGAAATTTGACTGTATTTTATAAAATACTAGTCTACTTAAACAGAGCCAAGACAAGTTACTTTTTATAGACCATAGGTAAGTTTTATGTTATTTGATATGGTAACATGAGTGCACGTGAGCCACATCATTGTAAGTTCTCAATTGTTATACAGGCACGGCTGAAAGGTCAATAAAATAAAAATAATAAATATAAATGTATAATATTGAGATTTAAGCTATTTAGTCTAAACATTTATGTTTTTGTGTTATAATCTGTGTTCATTCTAGAATGAAACAGGCATAATTTATATTTATTTCCTAATTTTTTTATGATGGTTGCAAGATAGGTCAAATCTACTGAACCCATACGGAGATTAGTTACTGAAAATAACAGATAGAACATGACTTGACAATGCTCAAAAGTACTTTATACTTCGATAAAAATTACCCAAGAAAACGTACAACTAAGAAACTTCACATACTTTTCTTTTATAAAATTAATTGTCGGTGATTTATGCCAACATAATAATCTACATTTTTATATTTTACAATTAGAATTTAATTCCAATCTTTACCCCTATACAGAGAGCTATGTAGTTCATCAAATGACTTCTTTCAACATTAGTGAATGTAATTCTGTAAGTCTTTTTCACCAAGTCATACTTTAAGTCAGCAAGAGGTTGAGTACCAATACAAGGCTTACAGATATACAGCAAAACAACTACTGACCAGTGACAGCTGCCAAGATTATTCATTTTGATATAATTGGAAGTGAGAAGATACTTCTATTTAATTACATTCTATAGCTAAAAATGTTGATTTCTTATAGAACCGCATACCATGAGGATTTCAAACTCGAAATAAAAAGATAGAATGGAAGTAAGAGAGAGGTGGCCTCCTTCTTAAGCAAAGGAGAACATTATATGTAGAGGTCACTATACGATCACCTAAATTTAATTATTTATTAGCAACTAATTTTACTTAATTTTTTATAACTACATAGTAAACTAGTTTTTATCCTGTGTTTTAGCTGCTAATCTACTGCTGTTTCAGAAAAATCCTGTGAGTGACTATTTCTTTGATGGTAGTGGCTGGGATTGAATTCTGGGTATTCTTGACAGAAAGTCTTGACTGGGGGTTTCCTCCATTATAAATTTTAATCAAGTAACTATTTGAATGTTTTCAACAGGGGGGGTATCCAAGTCTTACCGATTTCTATGCTAAGTTGACTAAATGTATTATCAATTAGGTGGATGTAGAAGACTTCTTTTAACTGTCTTGTGTGTGGTTCATATCCTATTATTTTACAATTATTCCATTTCATCTCACAGTCTTCTCTATTATGATAGAACAGATTTTATTATCATGTGTTTTACATCTATTATACTTCTGAATCGTGATTGTTCGTGGTCTTTTTCGTTTCTTCAATGTATAGGAATATATATTAACAGAGAATGTTGTAAACGATCCTTTCCATTTGACGCATGTGGTCACACGTACACGAGTTAGTACACAAGCAAATCTAATTAAACGTGCTATTTGTCACGTGTGAAAGGGTTTGCTGAGTCACATGTCAATGTTACTCCTGAGGAAAGTGGAAATGCGTCATAATAGATCTTTAACTTGTTTTAATCCATCCATACTTGTTCCATACTGTATATATACATATATCTGTGTCAGTGTAAATTACTTGTACCTGATGATGACAAAACCATGTCGAAACGTTGTACATTTGCTGTTATGTTAAACTTATATTAAAGTTTTCCTTCATTACCCATTCAATCCGTCTCCAACCATTATTACTGCAGATATATTCTAAACTAGTTATGAAGGGATAAAATTAGCACTTATTTCAACTATGACATGCTACCGAGGAAAAATTATAAATATTTATTGATGACCTAGCTTGAGGTATACAAGTAATAAACATAAAAGTCTCTATATTTGTGCAAAATATTAAGTTTTTTATACAACCTAATATGCCAGGTTTTTACCATTACAACCAAGCTGGTCAATTAGATTACTTTATTCTCTACACACTAGGCTTATTACTGAAGAAGTTGTAATTTATTACAACATTATTACAAGTGTTCATGTGAATCTATAGAGTTTTATGTCTTTCAACTCAAAAGAAAATGAAACAACAAACATGAAATTGTTTTAAGTTTCTCATTTTCTGAAAAATAAAATCTACATTAATGAAGCTTAAAAAAGAACAGGATTTTCTTACCTGCTTCAGCTGCTGCCAACATGTGCTTTCCAGCACCAAGCTGTCTTGTGGAATTTCCTTCCAATAACCATGTTTTGATAGAGTCATAACTACAAAAAAAAACAGTATATTAGGTTATGGTTGTACTTCAGACATTTTATACCATTTGAAAGAGTTTAATAGAAAAATCTAAAAAAAAATATGATTAAGGATCCAAACTTATAAAACTAAGCCAACACTGACAACCCCAACATTCAGTTGCATTTAAAACATTTTTATGATACATCTTAAATTTGTGATTTTCATTCACAGATTACACAAGTTATAACTTTCAACCTTATGATCAAACTACATTTGTATTGATATTTTGCATGAAAAGTTTAACCCCCAAATCTACACCCAGAAGCATTTTAGCACAATCTAATAGTACCCCTTTAAATCTTAGTTCATCATTCATACTTAGAACATTTTGTTTCAATCACAGATGGTGAAAACTGTATATTTTATTATCTCAAAAACCTCACATGGAAATGTTAAAAAAATATTAAGAATGATTGTAAATCACCAAATTTGATATTAATACTTTCAAGTGTACTTTTTTTTCCAATGCTCAATCTGATATATTGACCAGGTTATTTTAATCAACTGTGTCTTATTCAAACATCCCTTTTTCAACCCTTAAATGCCTGGATGCTTCGATTACAATACATCTGTCACACAAAAGTTTGTCTTATCTCATTTAAAAAAATTATTTTTAACACTGGCTGAAACTTGAAATGAACTTTATATGGATTATGTACCTTCTGTTAACTTTATACAGGTTATGTAGCTTCTGTATGAATTTTATACAGGTTATGAAGCTTCTGTATGAATTTTATACAGGTTATGAAGCTTCTGTATGAACTTTATACAGATTATGTAGCTTCTGTATGAACTTTATACAGATTATGAAGCTTCTGTATGAACTTTATACAGATTATGAAGCTTCTGTATGAACTTTATACAGATTATGTAGCTTCTGTATGAACTTTATACAGATTATGTAGCTTCTGTATGAACTTTATACAGATTATGTAGCTTCTGTATGAACTTTATACAGATTATGTAGCTTCTCTATGAACTTTATACAGATTATGTAGCTTCTCTATGAACTTTATACAGATTATGTAGCTTCTCTATGAACTTTATACAGATTATGTAGCTTCTGTATGAACTTTATACAGATTATGAAGCTTCTGTATGAACTTTATACAGATTATGAAGCTTCTGTATGAACTTTATACAGATTATGTAGCTTCTGTATGAACTTTATACAGATTATGTAGCTTCTGTATGAACTTTATACAGATTATGTAGCTTCTGTATGAACTTTATACAGATTATGTAGCTTCTCTATGAACTTTATACAGATTATGTAGCTTCTCTATGAACTTTATACAGATTATGTAGCTTCTCTATGAACTTTATACAGATTATGTAGCTTCTGTATGAACTTTATACAGATTATGAAGCTTCTTTTATACAGATTATGTAGCTTCTGTGTAAAACAGAATCTCTTATTTTTATGTGATATTTGTAAGAACTCTCAGATTTGCAAAATCAAAAATTTATGACGTTTTTAAGAAATAATTAAAAATTCTTACCTTTGTTTTAGATTTCAATGTACTCATTCAAATACATTCATTTAAAGCTTTCCAATAAATATATATTAAACTGTAAATTTTGTTTCTGTTTTGATTTGAAAAACACTAATCATACCTAAATTATAAGCAAGCTGACTTTTTTACTAATTATCAGAATGTTACATCTAATACTTTTAAAAAGTTTTAAACCCATTTTATATTCTTTTATTTACTGATTTTTTTAATTTATTTAATTTTCTTTGCCCATTAAAGTACATATTTAGACTAATAAGGCTTCATATAAACAAGGTCTTGTGTGTGCAAAGAAGCTTGATATTTTCAAAAGCACACATCTTCTAAATAATAATTCACATAAAAAATAATTAATAACAGGTATTAAATACTACTGGCGTACAGCTCGTCAAAAATGACGGGGCAAGTACTACCACCCCCACCCCATAGTATACCCTAACATCAGCTAACTGAAATAAGTAAATGTTGCTAAATCAAGCTTGACCAACAAAGAGGCAGAAAAGTGCAGTCAAACCTTGGTAAATTCCTTTGTGAGCAAATTAGAATTAAGATCATTCAAGAAATGAATTCATGGTGTATTCATAGAATAATATTGGTAAAAATCAGTTAGATTAACAACTTTTAATATATAGAAAATCAAGTGCGTTTTCGCAACACTACATTTCTAACAATGACTTTTATGTCATGTCACTTACCAACAAAAGTATAACCGAATATTGTTGTTAGTCTATGTACTGAAAGTATGAAATGAAATGTATTGACAACAAAACTGGAAAAATATTTGTTGATTTCTTAATTTAGAGTCTCTGTTGATTAAAAACATTGGTGATATAACAGAAAATAGCTTAACTCAGAAAAGATTTAAGTTTAAAACTCAATCAATATTTTTACTTTCATGATAAATTCTATGCACTTGGCTCTAATCTAGGTGATGCCAACTTATTATACCAACACTCACAACACTTACAAAGTTTCATGGCGCCCTCCCCTTCACAGCCCCCTTGCACCCCATCACTAAAATCATAATGGGCAGACAGTAATCGAACTATTCTAACAGGATAAATGCTCTTTGGCTTTTATGAACCTTTCTATTTCGAGAAATCAAGCATTATGTGACGTGACACACTAATTTTTTTTTTATAGGTTATATTATGTTATTAATACTTACCCTAATTCTGTAAATAATTCATATAAAACTCAATATAGTTTACAGTATAACAGCTGTTGTTCATACAATCTGATAATATAAATAGCATCTCAACCACTATTATGTCTGTCATATCCAAGGAGGTCTAAAGAGCCCTGGTACTGGTGGAAAGGCCTCATCGGCACCAGATGTAGTAGATAGTGTTCTTGACATTTTGTATACCTTCTTTATATTCACTCTTAAGTTCTATCATATTGCAAAATTATAATTAAAATAACGAAAACTTTTCAAAAGGCTTTAAATAAATGGCAGAAATTGTTATAAATATATTTTTTCCTCACAGCATACCACAAAGTTAAGCATTTATCGCTTTGCTGAGATATCTATTCAAGTCTCCTCTGAACTGGAAGACATTAGCTTTTGTTACACATTTAGATCAATAGCCTACGACTTCTTGAAGTTGAGATACAGATATTTTATATAACACCATAACAACTAAGGTTGAGGAACCATGACTGACTAATCTTGATAAAACTACACTAGTATTGAAGAAATAATATTCAATTTGCCACCATTTTGTTCGTAACTATCTTGACTCTTCACCTAGAAGACTACGAATGCTGTCTTAACCTCAGATATTAATAAATGTTGTTGTTCAGAGCATGCTGAAATCCACCCAAAATCAAAATTTATGATTTTTAAATTATTTTATCTATAAAATTGAATAAATAAAACTTTTTGCCAAATGAATTTCAACATGAAAGTATTTTTAAAAATACATAGAAGGATAACTCAAAGTTTATTTTCTATGCAATTCTTAATTCAATGGTGCAATTCTTGCCTTTGAGTAACGAGTGCACCCTGCTGAGCACCAAAAGATTAATTCATAAGTTAGCTATTCATAGATTTCATTCTAAAATCTTCTTCAGGTAATACCATAGCTAAATTCCAATTTACCTTTTTACTTACATATCATACAATTTAAATGAAATTGTCCCCACATAAATCAGTTACCTGGTGAAAAAAAATTAATAACTACTGTATATTACACCATGTATAATATATGTATAATCTTCAATCAAAAATTACAGTACATATTGAAAAACATTAACTTAATCTAATTAACATATAATATAAAAACATATATAGACAGCAGAGCAGTTAAAAATTTATCCAAAATAACTGTGACATTATAATGTTTTCCAAAAGGAATTTCTGAGTTAATTTAAAAGGACATAATTCACTTGTATACACATTTACTTAACAAACCTGTTGGAATTACTTAGAAGCTCTATTTTTTATATATATATATATATATATATACACTTACTTAACACACCCTGTTGGAATTACTCAGAAGCTCTATTTTTATATACAC